AACAACACGTTAAGGCATCTTCAGAGAAAATTTGTCAAACATTTTTCAGTTTATCTGCCATTCTCTTATCAGTCCTAAATAGAGATGGGCATAAACTGCTTCTTTGGCAGCTTGTCCCAGTTCGTTTACCACTGCAACAGGTGTTTGGTGGTTCATGCCCATCTCTAGTTCTAAAACATTTCCAAGGTGCAATACCAGGATTGGCCACTAGGCATTTTACTATACAGTATTTCTCTGATCTGTTGATAATAATAATGCGACACATTAATCATGTGCAATGCAAGGAATTACTTCTGCATGTGGAACAATCCAACAATGAATATAACAACATCTTCCTTTTCAAACATCATGTTCTGGCTCAGGTTCCTAGCTTTGGGGGAGGGTGGTTCTCAGCTGTGCCAATCTTTGAACTGCTCATTGCAGTGGCTAATAAGGTCACAAACTAAGAAATATCAGCACTGAATTGTAAGAAGTATAATTACTACCCCAGGTGTTTTGCAGTAATGTATGAAACATATTCACACCACCTTGGTCTTGGTGGCCCCATCGGCACTTCTCATTTACACCTTCTGAAAATCCCATTTCCTTTGTTCCTGCATTCGCAAAAGGCTCACAGGAATGGTTCATTTATGAAAAACAGCAAGAAAACCACCACATATATCACCTACTCCCCCTCATCTTTATCGAGCTCCTTACAATGAAGTATGACTAATAGCTCAAGTTGCCTCTATTCACTGTTAGTCATCTAAACCAAAGTCTAATTGAAGATCGCTTTCAAAATAAAGACAACATGCATCTACGATATGGAGGGGGGGGGGGAAATGCCATTTGCATCATAAAGGAATAGGAAGTTTGTTATTTGTAAAACCAAAATTAATATTTGAAGTACTAACCTAGGACTGCCTTGATCAGCTACTGTGTCTCAGTGTGGGGGAAATGCCTTGACATCACCCCTTTTTTCTTTTTCCCCCCTTTTCTTTTCTTTTCTTTTCTTTTAGTTACGTTTTTTCTAAACTGTAAGATTTTTACCAGAGACCTGTGCATACTCCCAGTGAACTCCCATGGCTAAGTGGGGATTCAAACCTTGGTCTCCTTTACTCATAATTCTATCCACTATACACTACAGTGATGTTCATAATCCATTTGCATATGCATCAAAATTAAGGCACTCAATGTTTATTCATCTTTCCGATGAAAAAGAGTCCACGTAGAGCTAATATAGCATTTTCTTGCTAGCCATGTCTTCTGGACCTCAAATCTTGGGAATATGGAAGTGGGAGTGAAGCTTGGAAACGGGGGAGGGGTGCCTCTCCAAGCACAGAACAGGAACTGGGAAAACTTGCTGAATAAGAGATTTCATTTTCACCAGCTGCTCTCCAATATAAAATCATGCGTTTTCAAGACTGATTTTTTATGCTTGCATTGGTGCCCACCTCTCAAGTCAATCTCACAGAGAAACCAAATCCTTGCATCTGACAGTGACAGTTGTTCCGAATGGCCCCTATTACTTCACTGCATTGCAATCAATCACCATCAACCTCTTCTGTTTTACATTTACTGACATATAATAGGAATAGGTGCATGCTGTCAAGCCAATTCCAATTTATGGTAACTATTTCTAGATAGAGAACACTCGGAAGTAGTTTACAATTGCCTTCTTCTGGAGGTGCCCTGGGACTGCACAGCTTGCCCATGACTACAGAGGCTGGCTCTTCTCCCAGAAGGCACAATGGGAAATTTAATTCCCAACCTCTGGCTACACAGCCAGATACATAAACCACTGAGAAATCCAGCCAGTTTTACTGAGATATAAGGTTGCCTGAAAGATAAACAAGTGGACCCTAGATCAAATCAAGTCTGAAATATCTCTGGAAGCGAAAACATTGAAGCCGAGTCTGCCTTACTTTGGGCACATCATGAGAAGACAGGATTCTCTGGAAAAGACAATAATGCTAGGAAAGAAGATGACCAAATACGAGATGGACTGATTCCCTAAAAGAAGCCACAGGCCTTAAGTTGAGAGCTGTGCAGGGCAACTGAGGACAGGACATTTTGCAGATTGCTCATTCATATGGTCACTGTAAGTCAGGATGACTTAACAGCGCATAACAACAACAACAAAAACACCTTTAATTCAGCAGGACATACATTTGACTAAGGAGGTCAAAGAGCCATATGGAGACAAATACATGCAGAATAAATTCCTTCTCAATGTCTGAAACCTCTTTCCTGAGATTTAAAATTCATAGCAACTATAAACCCACCAACAATAACAATAATAATTTATACTCACTCTTCACTCCTTTTTCTCCCTTCCTCAAATGTACCCTTTCCTAGAACAGCATCAAGCTAAGCTCCCATAAGCCTCAAGGAAATTAACAGGACTTAATGTTGTAGAGCAGAAAGGAACCACAGACTCGACTCCCTGTCAAAGCAGGAGAAGTCCCCCCTTTTGGGATCGTGGTTTCCATAATTCCCCAGCCGACATTCATCACTATGGGTTAGTAGCTTTCTATGCACTGTTTGCATAGAAACAGTGCCAGCGCCTCTGCAAAACAAATTCCAGCTGTTTGCACACAGGATTATATTTTCTCAAAATTGGAACTTTTACCCTATGAAACTGATGATTTCACACATTGGCTGATGACTTGGATGGAAAGCCTTGTTTCTCATGAACAACAAACAGGTCAAAGCACTTACTGGAGTTTTTTTTCCCCTTATATCTCCAGTTGCATAAAGGCCAAAGATATTCTCTCTTTATTTTAAATAGAAGCTTGGAATCCAGACCATAGAACAGTTTGAATGGGCACTTCTAAAACCAATAGCAAACACAGCTGAAAAAGGTATGGAGGCAACCGTAAGCATCTGGGAGCTGACGTACAAAATACCAGAAGGGACAAAGGTTCCTCAGCCCTCCTTGAAACAATGCTGTTCCTGGTACAGACTCAGCAACTGCAATTAATGGAAGGATTATGGCTCAGCAGCAAAGAACGTACGTGCTTTGTGTAAAGACATATCAAATACTAAGAACCTTAAAGTGGAGAAGAAAAATGCATCAACGAATTTGTAGCTCAAAGACATCTCAGCATACCCACAACCAGAACAATTTATTCAGTTAGGGAAGGCAATTTTAAAGGGGGGGGGGAATCTAGTATTGCCCTTTATAGACTCCATTGCACTACTGCTTTTTTAAAAAAAGAGTTCATCAGATCAAATAACCAATAGATACTGTGCCCTGCTCTAATCAGTTCATGCAAGATCTTACATAGTAGCATTCTACCTCAGCCAACCTATGTTAGACTTAATTTCCCTGAATACAGAATCCCATAAAAGTACAGATTACAATCACACAGATTACAATCAAACAGACATAGCAAAGTCATTCCAATCCAGTCCCATGGCTCTCTGTCTCACAACTCATTTCAATTCTGTTCAGTAACAGAAGCGTTTTCTGGTGAAATAGTTGAATTTAAAAAAATGTTATGGAAAATTTTCTGGGAATATTTTGAATATTTAAATTCAACTGAATCGGATTTGTCCTAGCAAAATACAACGTCCTTTTAAAAAGTATTCCAGATTTCAAACTTTTTTTTTGTTTTTCAACAGTCATCTGAACTGAACTGATTTCAGAAGTAGTCAAGTAAGACAACAATAAATAAATATAATGCCTGTAATGTAGTTTAAACCCTATACTCAAAATAGCAAATACAAGACTTTACTTGGATTTTTAAAAATGTAATGTTAACATTTAAAGACATGAGAGTTTAAAATATATACCTTCTTGCATTGTATAGTTTATTTTTAATGAAGACACCAAAATCTATTCACACTTTTTAGATCAAAGAGCTATGTATTCATTATGTACTGTACATACGTTTGCATACATCCTAGATACAACTAGCTGGAAGAGGGTAATTAGGACTTTGAAGCTGTGATGAGCATTTCCACCATCATTTAAACTGTGACTTCATTTTCTGAAACTATGCATTTTTAAAATGGAAACTTGACTGAGTTCCACTATTATGACAAAGCAAACGCAGAAGCAGACTGCTCCATTCTTCAACAAAACTTCATGATGTTTCAAAATTCCTTTAAATGCCCCAGTTAGGCAGCAACAAGAGGTTACAATAAATAAAAGCAAGATTACTACAAACAGAACACAAAAAGAGTTTTGTGCAATAATTGGGTGTAAGGATGCTTTAATGATGAACAAATAAAACAAAAGTAAAATAAAAAGTTCTATTAGCATTTTTAGGAAGGACTGAGATATTCAGTGGATTTTTTCTTTTAAAACCAAAATATTCAGGGGAAATATTAACAGAAATAATATCACACTAAAAAAATGAAGGTGGGGGCGAATCTATAAGGATTCATATTTTAAACATGAGCCACTGGAGCTTTAATGAGGCATTGCCAGTTCCTTCATTACCCAAGAATGCAAATCATCCTAGAATTTAATTGTTTTACTTTTCCATTGTCAGATATATATATGGACCAATGCCTTTCTTTCCTGCATGGTCCTAAAGGATCTTGAATTCAAATAGTCTCATGGACTAGGAGCCACTCAGTAAATCAAAGGGAGATTCAAGGACAAGCACATAAGAGAGGCAAAGGGACACAGATGGATTAATACTGTTTATTGCACTAAGGTTCAGTGTAATACTAACAACTGCAAAAGCCAAAACAAAAGTAAAAATGGGAGAACTGGTGCAAAAAGAAAAACAAACACAGGTCATGTTGTTTTTCAATATCCTCTAGCAATACTAAAGCCAGAGTTGCAGAAGTAAGTTACTAGATTCTGTTGAGATGAGATCAGAGTTCACATTCGAGTTATATCACTACTTCCTTCTAGAGGGTGATACCAGAGAAGACATAGACGGATCAAGCCATTCAACTAGATCCTCATTCTTCAATAGCAATTCAAATCAAAGTATCTGTTCAAACCCACTTAACATCTCTGACGGCAAGAGTTGAAGGATCAAATAAATACACCAGCCTACCTTTGCCACCTTTCACACAGGAGCCATTCCCCGTTCTTATTTTCCCTTCAGGGCTAGAAAACGTCCCCCATGTGAGACAATTAATATTTTAATCATGACTGCAAAGGAAACATCCAAGCAGATCAGCTGTGTGCCAAATCCTATCCCCCTCACTATTTCCGAGGAAGCACACCTCTGGCTTTCAGCTGCTAAGAAAACGGAAGAGATCTTTTCCAAGGTCAAATAGAGATGTAATTTCACTGCTGTAGAAGAAGAAGAAAACACTCCATGCTCCTTGTCCCTCTTTCACTGTGGGTCACATAGAAACTCATCCTCTGAAGCCCACAAAGCCTGCATGTCCCACAGCAAATAGGAGAATGCACGAGGCTACATAAGAAACACCACCCCACACTCTCCTTGTTTATTCCTCCTCCCTCCTCTCTCTATGGATTGCCCTCGTGAATAATGCAGAAGCTGTCGTCCAAGACACTACCCACTCTATGCTTCTCTCAGAGTCAGCTGAAAACAGGCTCAACGTGCCATCCAGGGCCAGTCCCCATGCTCAGCCCAGTGCAAGCCAGAGACGCTTGTATGACAGCCTTTTCTCTCTTGTTCCAAATGAAGCTGTCTCCTTTCGTACCAGTCTGGATTGTGAAACTAAGCAGTTGTACAGGACAGACAGCATGGCGTTGTACAAAATAAACCAAGGGGAAAGGTCCACTTCTCAAAATCCCTCAGGCATCTTTAAGAAGCAAGCAGCATTGTACAAGCAAACAAGGACTTTTGGTCCTCACCAGATATGGTGATGTCACTCTCCTGGAAACTCTTAACAGAAAGTCAAGTTTACCTCTTGCCCAAGCTTCAACATCTACAAACGGTGTTTGTCTTTGTCTCCCTCCTTCCCCTGGCCAGGCTAGGAAATCTGGACTTGTTTTCCTAGGGTCCTCTTGTTTGCCCAACAAGAGGACCCTGCCTTGGGCCTGCTCCCATTCCATCCTGACCTCTACCACTTAATGGACTGGAGCTTCTGCTTCTTTGTGGATCTGGTTTTGTAAGAAAAAGGGAGCGCTAGTCATTGGTTCATTCTACAGAGGCTGATCATGCACTGGGGAGTCAGCAACAGAAGCAAGCAAACATAGCTCCAAAACTCGATGGCCCGTTGTCTGCCATCCTATGTCCCTGACTGATTTTTTTTGGGGGGGAGTAGGGTTTTGTTTGTTTTCTTTTAATATATTTTATATGTTTTTAATATTTTATTTGCATGTTTTATAATATTTTGTATGCGGCCCAGAGTAACGCCATGCTCACTAAATGGCTGGGATATAAGTAAGTAAGTAAGTAAGTAAGCAAGTAAGCAAGTAAGCAAGTAAGTAAAAACTCAGGTGAAGGTTCAAGTCAGGCCTGAGCATGCAGCTGAATTGTTAAGAATGGTGGTACATAAGCTCCTTGGACAGGTATAGCTCATAACTTTGTAGATAAGATGCATAAGCTCCCAGTTCTGATATGAGTAAAATGCCCTAAAAAGGGCTAAAAAGGAAGCAGAGTAATGCCACACTTTCCTTTCACTGCTGGAGCTGCCATAGCAGTTCATAAGGTTGCCCAATTTTGTACAGATCTATATAAGCTGAGCGTACTGAAAACATTTACCATAGAATAGTAGCCACAAAAATCCCAAAGTGCCCATAGTTTTGAGGCTGATGTGTTTTTGTAACTTGACAATCCCAGTGTTTGCTACGGCAGGAGACTGAGAAGGCAGAGATTGTCCTAGTCTCCATTACTAGAAGCTTATGAAGTATTAGGAATAGTATGTATGGACATTCAAATGAAAATCGGGCAAAGAAAGAGAGATTTGTCATGTTCCTTTCTAGAGTGGAAGAGTTCCAGTCAGCTTTTATAGGGTTAGTTTTTACTGGAAGAGAAGACATACTGAAGGCTTACAGTTTATATCCTTATTGTATGCTTGTTTACAAACAGAAATAATCTGCAAGCAATTTTGGGTACAGAAACAAGCAATGTCCCTCATAGTTAAATAAGATTCATAAATAGTTTTGTTAGCATACCAAATCAAAACTACTGTCATCAGAACTGTTGGTGCAATCCAAAACTATTTTTCTAGTCCCAGGATGAAGCTGCCTTATATGACGTGAGGTCTTCAGTCCATCTAGCTTGGTATTATCACCTCTGACTGGTAGCCGCATTCCAGAATTTCAGGCAGGATCTTTTCTTAGTCCTACTTAGAGATGCCAGGGACTTCAACTGGGGCTGTTCATCTGCTCTATCACTAGTCCCCCCCATCACAGCATTGACCTAGTGAATCTCAGGCAACCAAAATGCAAAGTCAGAATGTCTGTAACATTATGGTGGCTCTTTAATCCCAATACATAGTATGGAAAGTATTGACTGTGTAGAGACCATTGCTTAAGTATCCCGTGTGGTTTAAAAGGATAAGTGTAAGTCCTCACGTTTTTAATTTTTCACTTAACAACACAGTCCTACTGTATATTTTTAAACTCAGGAGCCAGCTCCCCAAATTCAATAGGACTTGCCTCCAAAATAAGCATGTATACCCTTGCACCTTACAGCCTAAATTTTGTAAACCAGCTGCAGACACCATGGCATTTCAAAAGATGGTTGTTGTGGGTTTTTTGGGCTCTTTGGCCGCATTCTGAAGGTTGTTCTTCCTAATGTTTCACCAGTCTCTGTGGCCGGCATCTTCAGAGGACAGGAGTCAGAACCCTTTCTGAGCTCAGAGTGCTGACTCCTGTCCTCTGAAGATGCTGGCCACAGAGATTGGAGAAACGTTAGGAAGAATGACCTTCAGAAAACATGACCAAAGAGCCCAAAAAACCTTCAACAACCATCAGATCCAGGTCGTGAAAGCCTTCAAGAATACATTTCAAAAGAGTCTGAACATCATCACAGCCACATATGAGGAGTCTCACTAGCCCGCTTGCACTGCCTCTCTGCATTGTAGCAGTTCTGCTGAATCACATACTGCACTGCTGGCAGTGTTGACAGGGAAATGTTAAGAGGTTTGCAGTACTCTAGACCTAGAACATTGTTCACTCAAGCTAGCTAAGTGCTTAACTCATACAGCATTGCACAGCTGTGAAGGCACCAAGAGATAATGCAAAGACAATTAGAGCTGGAGTACATGTAGCTCCACCTCACCTTTTCAAGTAGTAACATTCTGGGACTTGATCCAAGATCATGTACCAGGACACTGACAGTACATTGATGGTAAAATTCATCAACCCTGACTCAGAATGGACTGGGTCTTCTTGCGTTTTTATTTTAGAATACTTGGGGGATGCATCAGTTCCCCCCAAGAATGTTCTAGAGCACAAGATGAAGCCAACCAGGCAGAGCTCATTCAAAACTGACATTGTCTTCATCTACCAGTTTCTCTGTTCCCTTGCCCTCTTCCCAAACTGACATGTCATGGGAAGGGACGATAGGAAGAAACCTCTCCTAAGAGGAGAGGGTGCTCCCTACATTTCCAGCTTTCAGCTCAAGGACTTTCTGTGCATATGCAGACAATTTATTTTGTAGAGCTGCTGTTTGAAAAATATTACTCAGCTGGAACGATAAGTCAAGAGGAATTTTGAAAAGAAAAGCCCTTCATTTTCCAGACTTTATGTCAACAGGAGCAGCGCAGAGGCAGTCATCTGCCCTTGGGCAGATTCCACTACCTGAATGGCCCCTTCCTGACTAATGAATTAAATCAGAAACAGTGGTACCTCGCTAGACAATGACCCTGCTGTACAACGAATCCGCAGGACGGTGACTTTTTTGCGATCGCTATAGCGATTGCAAAATGATGTTTCCTATGGGAGATTTTCTTTTGACGATGATTAGGTCTGTGCTTTGTGAACTGTTTGTTCGCAAGACGCAGATATTTTCCGGCTCTGTAAAATGGCTGCCCTGTGTTTTCTGGACCCATGCTTCGCAGGGCAGCCATTTTAACAACTGATCGGTGCTCGGAAAATGGCTTCCCCTATGGGTGATCTTTGCTGTACGATGAGGTAATTTCCCCATTAGAACGCATTAAATGGGTTTCAATGCATTCCAATGGGAGAAACTGTTTTCGCTGGACAATGTTTTCGCTTAACAGCGATTTCAGGGGAACGGATTATCGTTGTGGTGCGGGGCACCACTGTATAGGTTAAAGGAGAGTATGGTTTAGACCTAATTGATGAATTGAAGATCAATAAGTCACTGGGTCCCGATGGCATCCACCCAAGGGTTATTAAGGAACTGAGGAATGAAGCCACTGTTCTTTTAACTAAAATATACAACTTGTCCCTTAAAGTGGTCACAGTGCCAGAGGAATGGAGGATATCACATGTCACACCAATCTTTAAAAAGGGAAAGAGGGTTGACCCAGGAAACTACAGGCTGGCTAGCCTAACATCTGTTCCAGGGAAAATGGTGGAAAGGCTCATCCAAGATAAAATCTTAAAACACATAGAAGAACAAGCCTTGCTGAGGGAAAATCAGCATGGCTTCTGTAAGGCTACTCTTGCTTCACAAACCTTTTAGAATTCTTTGAATAGGTCAACAGGTGTGTAGATGCAGGTGAACCAGTGAATATCGTGTATCTGGGTTTTCAGAAGGCATTTGACGCAGTCCCACACCAAAGGCTACTGAGAAAAGTTTTTTAAATCCTGAATTTTTTCCATTCTGAATAGGAACAAACTTGACAATTTTGGTAATTTTTTTACTGAAAATTCCCAGTCATCTGCACTGGCCAAACATAGTGCCGCCTACAGGCCCTCTGAAGAAGAGAATTCACAGGTGTGGCTGTGTCTTCCTCTGCATTGTTTACTGAAGTCTGCCACCTGCTGACTGAAGGCTATAGAGAGCCGCCTAGAGTACTCTTAATTGACTAGATAGGCGGGATATAAATAAAATAAATAATAAAAAAATAATAATTTTAATTATTTGAAATTAATTACAGTGGTGCCTCACATTACGACATTAATTCATTCCAGTGAAATCGCTGAAGAACGAAAACGTCATAATGCGAAAATAAAAAACCCATTGAAAAGCATTAAAACCCATTTAATGCATTCCAATGGGCTAAAAACTCACCGTCCTCCATAGGGCGGCCATTTTCGGTGGCTGTCTTGCGAGGAATCCATCCCAGAAAACAGCGAGGAGCCATTTTATTTACCCAGTGGCCATTTTGAAACCGCCGATCAGCTGTAGGAAAACCATCGTTTTGTGAAGAATCGGTTCCCGAAGCAGAGAACCAATCATCACAAAACGAAAAAAGCCTATTCAGACCATCGTTTTGCGATCGCACCATATTAGGGTC